CCTGCTCCCCTCTTGCCAGCAACATCATGTCCTTCCCAACTGCCAGGTTTTCCACCCCAAAAAAGGGCTCAGCTGGCTCTGCTCGTTCTTCTGCCAGGACCAGTGAGCTCCTGACAGGGATTCAGATGATCTCTAATCCCACCCCGATGAGGCTGAGGAAACATCGCCCTGGATGGTGGAAGGGAATGGAGCCGTGGGATGATGTCAGGAAAAACAAACTGTGCACACTAAGAAGGTTCCCTGAGTTTAGTGCAGAAACCTGTGGGCAGAGCCTGAGCTGTGCCTTGAGTGTCCCTCCAGGAACACCCTCAAAACTCAGGGATAAACCAGAAACTGTAAATATGACTCCAACCCCCAGATCTGCCGTTCCACTGGGAATGAATTTGCTCATGGAGCAAAAAAAAAAAAAAAACCCACCACTGAAAGCCCTGAGAAAATTAAAGCAACAACTATGAGATGGTGAACAAGTTTCTCTTGGCTCTTTGTATTCCTGGAATCATCTTAATCTCTGGGTGATCCCATGGTTTTGCTAAAAGATTCAAAGGTCTCAGAAATAACATGTTATGGAAGTCCACAAAATGCCTGACTCTGAACTGCATCTCGATGTGTTCCCCAGCTCCACAGGGGCCACCTGCAACCAACTGATGACCTTTGGCTTCTGGATAACCCCTTGCAGGACCCCAGCCTGCTACAGGGAACAGTCAGACATAGGTAAGATACAGGCCTGGATCTGAAAGGGCAGTGGAAATTTTCAGGAAGTGAAGCAACGGACAAAACCCTCCAAAAAAAACCAGGAAGACATTTGAAAAGGCAGAAGAGATGTGGCAGAAGAGGCTAAAGATGAAAGCAGCCCAAAATACAGCCTGACCCTGTTTCTTAGCTGTTTGAAAAGCACCCAGGGGATCTCCCACCATCCCAAACAGCAGAGGAACAGCCAATGTGGCTCCACTTTTGTCTTGTAATATAAAGTTTAATTCACTGAATTTTCTCCCACCTCAACCCTCACTGCAGCACTCACAGTTCTTGGTGCTGCTCAGGACGTAACTGGACTGAATTTAAGGCCAGCTTGGACAGGTTTTGGAGCAAACTGGGCTAGTGGAAGGTGTCCCTGCCCATGGCAAGGGGTGGAATGGGATGGTGCGTAAGGTCCCTCCCAACCCAACCCATTCCATGAGATGATTCTATGATTTATCAGGATATTGAGGTGTTTGTCACAAGCCTTATCCCAGCTCAGTGAGGGGTAATTCTAGGCTAGCACAGGGCTGAAATTCCAAACAGATGGATGCAGAGTTTGCACACACTGTGTGTGTGAGGAATGACCTGACTAAGGATGTCTTGGTGCTTGGTCTTGTTCTTGTTGAGGTGGATGGATATTCTCAAATAAATGGGAAATGAGTCCTCTGTGGGATGGAAAACGAGTTGGAAATAATTACACTGTGTCTGTGAAATCCCACCCATGCCCAGCCTTGGTTTACAACCCACTCCTGTGAGAAATGATGAGACAGAAGCTTCAGGGCCAGAAATCACACTCTGCATGACTACGTTACTCATCATATTTAACGTTGCTTTGTGTCTCTGTATCTGCACTAAATTTTGGCCCAGGCTTTAATGCCAGCCCAAGGCAGCTCTGAGCCAGAGTCAGCCCAGCTGAACCTGGGACAGCTGCTGCCACCCCACCAACCTTCGTGGAGCAGGGGGGACTGGCTCCCCTGAGCTCCTTTCTGATAATATGTGAGCACCAAGTGCATCCTGACAGCTGGGAGTGACTCATGTGGCTGCAGCTGGTCAGCCTGGGAGGTTCCCTTTCCCAAACAGGCAAAATCTCTCTCTTACAAAGGCTCTCCCAGCACGGGACCAGCACAAATCACTGCTCGGGTTTCCCTGGGCTCTCACAAAGGTCTAGGAAGGAGCAGGATATGAGACTTCACTGCAGGTAGTGCTTCAATCACGTGGGACTGTCCTCTGCACAACCGAGTCAGTGGTTTTGTCTGAAGTGTCACAAAAAACATCATCATGGGATGAAGGAGTTGAAGATAAAAATTCTCAGCTGACCTCTCAGGTCTGGAATAGAGGTAGAACACCAGGGAAGCTGCCTGGGAAAAGCTCTGGGGCTGCAGCAGCTGAGCTGGGCAGGCCCAAGGCTTTGTGTGCTACAGGCTGGAGAACAAGCACATTTCCCACGTGAAGTTTGGGTCTCTCTGCCTGTCTGAGGGGCAGGACTGAGGAGGGTGAGAGGGGGGTCTCAGGGGGGTCCCAGCCCGCTGTGGCCACACGGAATCCTCTGTTCTCTGCTGTGGGGATGGGAATGCCACGCCTCTCCTCTCGAATTCCAGCTGCCAGCACTGAGTCTGGGGGATTCTGGCCGGGACACCCAATCCTGGGGTAACTGGATCGTTTTCTGAGAGGCAGCAAATGCTGGGAGCTCTGGGCCAGGCTGGCCCCCACCTCTTGTCTAAACTGCAAACAGATCTCCCTCCTGCTGCTGCTGGGGGCTGAAACCAGAGAACTGTCTGTCTGCAGCACAGACAAATTGCCATCATTTTCAGTTCCCAACTTCTTTTTTTCTATCTCCTGAACTCCCTCTTTCTCTCTAGCTGGTATTTACCCCTGTAAAGAGCACCTTCAGATAGAGAGAGGAGGAGGAGGGGGTTGAGATGTGATGGGTTTTACCTGTAATGCCACGGAAGAGCTGAATTATGCTCAGCACAATTACACAGAGCACCCCATATAGAGACTTCACTACCCTTTTACCCATCCTGCTACAGAAAACAGGACACTTTTAGGAGTTCTCATTCATCCCATTGGGAGTATTTCCTGTATCCTTCCACTAGGAACAGCAGAGGGCTTAGAAAGGCAGGAAGGTTTGATAAGTAAATATAAAGCAGTCATGAAATAACCTGGGTTAGCCTTTCCATGCACAAAAGGAATAGAAGAATTTATATGCTGATATCTTGGCCCTCACATGATTAAAAGCGTTAGGAAAATGGGAATCTCTCCTTCTTGGGGGTGCAAAGCCCTCTTTTCTTCAGGACTGCCAGATAATGGATCCTCTCTTTCCCATACAAAGGGCTTATTGGCTCAGGACTCTATCTTTCCCCAGCCTGAGCCTGGGGGCAGGGTAATTTGGGATAGGGATAAGCAGAGAAAAAGCCTTGGTTTGGTCATTTCAATGAGCCTCTGATTTCTGAGCAGGACTGGGAAGGAGATGATGAAGCTACAGAAATGGAAATTGCAGGCTGGACTTGTGTCTGGTGCTATCACGTGGATCTCATCCCTAACTTATTCTAAGGTGCTAAATTGCACTTGTGATCATCTGAATTAATCATGTGCCCTGGACTGTCTAACCTGGAGCCTGCCTTTGAATTCCAGGCTCTATCCTCATCCCCCAGGCCTGGTGCTATTAGAAATCCCTTGTCAGAAAGATGCCTGCTTATTCCCCCCCCACATTACACTGTTTGAGGCAATATTCTGCCTCATGCCAGTCACACCTTTACATTTTCCCACTCAAAGCTAGAAGGGGGGTGTTATACCATTTCTGAAAAGCTGCAAAATTTCCCTCTTTCCATTGACACTCTGTGTTTGTTTTCACACTTGGGAGATCACAAGCTATTGGATCTCAAGATCCATAAACCTTTCTGATGTCCCTGTTTATTGGACTCTCCTCTAAACAGTTGTAGTCTTTTCATTTCAGATGCCCACCTAATTTCTCCTTGTAGTTTCAAATTATTTTGCATTTCCTGTCCTAAACAGTCTTACTGGCACTCTGAAACAACTGTTGTAGTGCACTTCATGGGTCTCCATATTCCACAAGTGACTGGGAGTGAAAGTAAAAGGGATTTTTGTATCCCTCCAGCATGAATACAAGTGTACAATGTGTGCCTTGTTCCCCTTAAAAGCAAATGTGCACTTGGAAAGCAGGTTACAGTAAGCAAAACAACAAGAAGGTTAAAGGCTCTGTCTGATAAGGTGAAAGGAAATTAGAATTCTTATCCCAGGGTGGAGTTAGAGGGGGATGGATTCTCAGGTGGTGAACATCCTGCCTTCTCCACTCAGCTGAGCACTCTGCTGCCACAACATGTGAGCACGAGCTCTGCTCTCTCTGGGCTCACTGGTGGTGGAGATTTAACCTCTGTCTGCTCTGAGGCTCGTTTCTGGCACATGCAGCACTTAAAGCTACATACCCGATGGGCAGCAGTCAGGCCAAACCTGGGAGAGGCACTTCAGAGAGGGGCTGAGCTGAGGTTTGGAGCACAGAGCCCACAGCAGGTCATGGGCTCAGGCAGGGATGTGAAAATCAAGGGTATATTCCAAGGGGAGGCTGTGACTGTTGCCCGGTCAATTTAAAACACACACACTCCACTTTTTTACACAAGCAGAGGGTGTGAAATGCCTTTCCTCCTTTAAAACTTACCTACACCTCTCATTCTGACCTTGTGGAAAGCCTTAGCAGAATTGCTTCCATGACAATTAGCTTCTCAAAACTAAATCCCAGACCTACACCCCCGTGTTTTGAGGAAGCTCAAATCCATGGCACTCCCATGATCCAATCAGACTTGGACAAGCTGGCTTTGGCTAATCTCTAAATCAGCCACCCACAAATCGTGGGTTACTTCTACAGTAACTAAAAACATCAAGTGTGCTGTCATCAGATTAAAATCCACAATTGGAGGGCCCTGGAACTTTTGGCTGTGGAATATTCTGGAGGGTTGAGCAGACAAACACTGATGCTCTGAGTCCTGGTGTTTGTGGTTGCAGTGTGTTAACGTGGAGGTGGGAACTAAGAGGACACAAATGCTCTGCATAACAGTGCTTGGCAATATTGCTGATAAAGAAATTAGCCAAATGCTTTAACTAGGTTGCCTCCAAGACTCCCTGACAGCAGCAATAACCCCCTCGTTAACCGGAACGCGCTGTGACAGCCTGAAGCTCGCCCTGCTCTCGGAGGATCTGAAGCAGCCAAGTCCTGTCAGCCAAAGGCAGGATGGAAGCAGGTCACATACCTGTGGAGAGAGGCCGTTGCTGACAGGGTTCATGTGGTTGGCAGGGGCTGCAGCGTTCATGAAGCTGTCGGAGTAGCTGGAGAAGCTGTGCCGGGCTCCGTAGGCTGAGCCGGTGTCAGCGGCGGCGGCGGCAGCTGCAAGACCCCCCTGGTGCATGGTGGAGGGAGGCAGGGGCTGGGGTCTGTGCACGGTGCTTCCCCCATCTGTGGAGAGACAGCAGGGCTCAGCAGGGCTGGGGGTTCCAGCTGGCACTGGGAAATGGGCCCGTGGGTTTGGCCATCCCTGTCTCAGCTTGTGGGACACAGCGTGTTCCACAAACCGTGTGACAGGACAAAACCTGCAAAGCTGGGGGGGAATATCTGAATTTTCATTTAACTTTCCCTAGAACAGAAGCTGTAAATTCTTTGGTAAAGGCCAAAGCTAGCTGAAATGGGCAATACTCCTTCCACTGAATCCCAGTGTGGAGCTTTATCCAGAATGAGGGATCACCTGTAGGACACTCAGTTCATAGTGCTGTGCTCATCATTTCAAAGGTGAGCAGAGCTGCAGCCATGAGACACATCAACAGAGCAGAAAGGACTGTGAGAAGAGGAGAAAACTGAGGAGTTTCCACTGACTTGAGGAAAAACCTGGTTTTCCCATCTAAAGGAAAACCACCTGTGTATTACAAGAGACTCAGTGGGATGTCATGAATGACAAAGGCAAGGAACAATGGGATGATAGGTCCCAGAATCCCAGAACGAATCCTCACCGGAGGATGCAGGACTTGGGGTGTGTTGGCACATGGAGGAGCAGGATACACGCCTTGGAATGGGAATGTCCCCAGACACACAGTTCCCTCAAGGACAAAGGGGATGAGAAAGGCACAGGGAGGTGGCCCCACAGATGGTGATGCTGAGGGCAACCTGGCTTGGACAGGAGCCAGGGCCACCTAATGCAGGTGAGGAGCTGTGGGAAGGCAGACATGGCCCGGATCGCTGCTCCTGTGCTTCTCCATCCTCAGCTTTGTAAAGCTGGAGGGGACTGGAGGTGACAAAGCCTGGCTTAGGAGTGGGCCTAGAGAGGGGTAGGTGGCTCAGAGGTCCCTGGCAGGACAAGGGCCCAGCCCTGTGCTGAGTCTGGCTCAGGAGATGGGGACAGACCCTGTGGAATCGTGGAATGGTTTGGGTAGGAAGGGCCCTTAAAGCTCGTGCAGTTCCATCCCCTGCCATGGGCAGGGACACCTTCCCCTATCCCAGATTGCTCCAAGTCCTGTCCAACCTGGCCTTGGAAAGGCAGGACTTTGGCAGGAGAAGAGAAGCAGCTCAGGCGGAGGGTGCTCACCTTGGGAGATGGTGGTTGTCGGGTAGGTGGAGTCTGGCAGCTGGTAGGGGGGCAGCGTGGGCATTCCTGTGGGCGGGAATCCCCCGGGCAGCAGGTGGTTGAAGGCCGCCAGCTGGTTCGCCCCCGCCTGCTTGCGCCATCTCGCCCTGCGGTTGCTGAACCACACCTGGAGGGGAGAGCAAAGGCCACCTGTGATTCCCTCCGAGCTGCTGCCCCACCTCACCCGGGTTCTGGTGGAAACATGTCGCACAGCACTGGCCAAAACCATGTTCAAGGTGCTGCCTGACTCAGATTTGTGAGTGTTTGCCTCCATTCCTCAGTGTCCTTCCAGCTGCTGAACCTGGGAGGGAGAGGAAAGACCCCCCCGTCACTCACTGAGCTGCTGTCCCACCTCAGCCGGGGTCTGATGGAAACACATTCTGTCCAAAAACAGGTTCAAGTTGTTGCCTGACACAGGCTCTGTGAACATCACAGAATCACAGAATATGCTGAGCTGGAAGGGCCTCACAAGGATCCTCAGTCCAACCCTCAGCCCTGCACAGGCCCAGCCCCAAGAGTCACCCCCTGTGCCCCAGAGGATCAGCCAAACCCTCCTGGAGCTCTGGCAGCCTTGGGGCTGTGCCCACTGCCCTGGGGAGCCTGTTCAGTGCCAACCACCCTCTGGGGAAAGAACCTTTCCCTGAGATCCACCCTGAGCCTGCCCTGACACAGCTCCAGCCATTCCCTGGGGGCTGTCCCTGGTCCCCCCAGAGCAGAGCTCAGTCCTGCCCCTCCTCTGCCCCTGCCCAGGCAGTTGGAGCTGCACTGAGGTCTCCCCTCAGTCCCCTCTTCTCCAGCTGAACACACCAAGTGCCCTCAGTGTCCTCACACACCTTCCCCTCAGGGCCCTTCCCCACCTTCCCTGGACACTCTCTAATGGCTTCACATCTTTTTTATATTCACCACCATTCCTCAGTTTCCTTTCTCCCAAATGACAATACAACCCCTGCCCTGTCTCCTGGGTAAACATATACATTTAAAATGGTTCAAGATGCTGCTGAGAGCATCAGGAGGGTGCTCTGAGCTGTAGGGTGAGATGAAGAGGAATAATTTAACTTGTGTATTCCGGGAGAGTCCACACCAAATAGATGCACTGCTACCACCTGGCCATTCTGCCTTGTTATCTGACAACTATGTGAATTATGCTGAGGGATTAAGGACCATAATAGCAACACGGCTGCTCTGTTAGGAGGGATAAATAGACAGATTAGCATCATGGTTTCAATGTTAGACAAGCTAAAGAGATAGAACCAGACCGGAGGGAATACAGGGCTTGCTCAGCTCCTCTGTGCTGCAGCAAATCACTGTTGTCTGTATGCTAAGACATGCCCTGCTTGTGGCAGCACCAGAATTGTTCTGCAGCCAATTTAAATCTCTGTGCATTAAAATAAACCCAGTTTTAATGCCTGTGCAAAGCTGGGCTCCTGTTTCCTACAGCGCTAGTTTACCTGTAAGACTCCCGAGGAGATTTTTTCTAAATGCATTTGTCTGCCCTGATGTGTTTTATCGTGGGCAATCTCCCTTCTGCATGGAAAGGGCTTCTCAGTCTGTCTCTTGGGCTTGGTTTGCTTCATTTAAACAGAGAGGCTCTCGGGCCCCATCCCTGTTTGGGGTTCAGAAGTATGTGGATAAGCTTTCAAGCCAGATGAGAATGCAGCTGCTGGACTTTGGGAGGCCTAAAGGGCTAGAAAACACGATTAAATTTCACAGCAACGAGAAAAAATGGAGCAAAAATCAAGAGTGTAAAGCATTCGGGGGGAAAAAAAAAAATCCTCCATCAGGCTTCCAAGCTGCTCAACATCAGATCAGGAGGTGGTGTTACAAGGGTTTGAGGCACTGCAGCCCAAACTGTGCCCACCTCTTGGGAGCCAAACCAAAACTCTTCCCCAGATATTGCAGAATTTTAGTCCTGTGTACTGTGGACATCAAACACGACCCAGAGCTCAAAATGGGCATCTTTCCCTGGTCTTTATATCAAGTCCTAGTAAATATTTACTTGTTCCTGCACGTTTTTCTTACAGGAAAAGGCAAATTTATTTAATGGAGTTCTGGCCTCCAGCCCACATGCACTGCAGTGGAGCCTGCTGCAAAAATAAGTGTACACTGAGTGTCACACACTAATTTCTGTGAGGTTCTCTGGATCACAGCCTATTATTGCTCTTTCTACGTGTTATTTGGCCACTATCATGCTGTGGAAACAGGTTAATTAAAACTCGCTAATGATAGCTGTGATCACCATGGCTTAGGAAGGACCTCGGCCTGGGCAGCCCTTAATTTCACGCTGTTATTTACATCCATATACAATGAAAACAACAAAAGCCCAGTTTTCTTTGAAGAGTTGGTCTAAATTAAGCCCCTGAAGTGTTTACAGTGCTGATGTCAGGTCCTTGGCTCCGAAACCTTCTTTTTACAGACCTGTTCCTACTGCACTGCTCTGCTGGCTGAAGCAGCACAACCTCCCAGCACCTTCCAAAAGCGTGACAGAAATGGGTCAGCTCACATCCGATCTGCATTGACCAGTAGAGTCCAGGCAGGTCACAATCCCTGGGGCCATTTCTGGCACCCAAAGTCACTAAAAAAAAAAAATCTAGGACAGAGTTAAGGAGAGAGAAATGAGTGAACTCTGAGGTCTGTAACACTTTACAAGTCCTTTGTCCAGCCCAATCTGTGGCACAGCTTCTGGGAGTAGTGAGCAACAGAAATGAAAAAATAACCTTTTGTTTGCCCTGGTCATGCCAAGAGGACGGTCCCATCCTTTTCTCAACAGGCACGTGTGTGCAAATCCAATTGTGAATTAGGGAGATGGATTGTCTCCTCCTCTCTTATAACTTGTTTCCACTTTCACAGATAAGGACACGAAAATTGAATATTTCTGGTAGGTGAACAGAGGGAGATAAATAAACTTACTCTTTTCAGAGAAAAAGGCCTAGACCTGGGCTGGAAGAGCTTCCACTCCAAATAGGATAAAGATATCAGTGCTGAGAACAGCACATAAAATTCACATACCCGAAGGGAGAACACAACCAAGATGTGAACCCAGGAACTGATAGGGAAAGAGAAACGGAATTCCAAGAGTGCAAAAGCCGTTCAAGTGATTTCTGACACTTTCCTGACATCACAAAGGGTGGGAAAGTTCTTTTTTTTCCTAAGCAAGAGCCAGATGTTGGCAGATCCACCTGGGATTAGATCTTCCGAAGAAGTGTAGGACGGGACACGTTTCTCCACCATCATCCCCACGAGGACTCCCTGCCCTGCCTGTCGGTTGATTTGGGCAAGGTATGACCAAAACACAACATGGAAAAGGTTTGTATTGTCTTCTGTTACCCCCTGTGAGGTTGTTTTTGTCTGGGCACCAACACACACTTGTGCACTCATCAGCCACTGAAGACTCCCCCTGCCAGAGGATCCTGTGACACCAGGGTAAGCCTGGGGTGAAGGCTAAGGCTGCTAAAACCAGGCTGGTGGGGAAAAGATGAGGAAGAGGAGGAAGTTTTGAAGCTCCTGGGGATGTTTTGTTCAGAATTAAAATGTACCCGTGCGTGTAGTGGCTCCTCCCATCCTGATCCTCCACATCCAGTATGGGGGGGTGGTTCCTTTACAGTTTAAGGGAGATAAAAGGATACTCTGGATCCTTTTACAACCAGGTAGAGACAACAAAAAAGTCCTGTGTATGAGCCATTTTGGTCTACAACGCACATGGGCTTGTGAAGAAAGGAAAGATAAATTCCAAGGGAGTGGACTATCACCAAAGAAATTCAGCTCTTAATTATGCTACTCCTGTGACTTCAGGAAAGTTATTGCTTTTCTGATTTGAAGTCAGTGTATTCAACAAATTTTAGTCCTTACACACCCCATGTATCAGATTAGCATCCCTAAATTGAGGATAAGCCCTTCATTTTCTTGCGTTTTAGTTCATTTCCACAATCAGCCACTGGAGATAGAGGCATTTTGACAGTGCCAAAGGAACCAGACGCAGCACGGCAAGATCTTGGAGCATTTTGTCTGGAGCGTGGCAGCAAAGCAGATAATAAATGATAACAACAGCAAATACACCTGCACCGAGTGAATTCCCAACCACATGTTGAAATGCAGTGTTTCCTCCCAGAGCCTGGCTGGAGAATCTAGCCCCAAACACACCGAAACCTTCCACAAAGCAACTGATAGGATTTATCTTCCTGTGCAGAGGAAGGGACATTTCATGGCCCAAACAGGTTGATTCTGCCCCTTATTTATAACCCAGAGCTAAAAAAAAAAAAAAAACCTGAGATACTTTCCAGCTAATGACGTTAGCAACTCTTTCCCTTCCCCCGCCTCAAAGGTGGCTCAGGCCTTTATGCTTATAAATCATTTTATTGGGAGTTAAAATATAGAGGCTGGAGCATCTCCCTGTAATGCGAGGTGCACTTCAAAGGGAACCTGCTTTCATTTCCCAACAGTTAAGGTTTTATCAGGCACTAAAGATTCCCCCTGCCAGAGGATCCTGTTACACCATGGTAAGCCCGGGGTGAAGGCTACGGCTGCTAAAACCAGGCTGGTGGGGAGGAGAGGAGGAAGAGGAGGAAATTTTGAAGCTGCTGGGGATGTTTTTTAGAGGCTGCTGGGGCTGGATTGCATGGTTTGAGTTTTATGCTGGGACAAGGCAGCACTTTGGAAAAGGGCTGTGTGAAGAATTCACCAGCAGAAAAAAACACCATGGCAGAAACTGGCTTTTTCTTAAAAAGGGAAGTTTTTCATGGTCATTTCCTAGCAGAGACCCTGTGCTGTGTAAATGTGCTGCTTTCCAAGGGTATAGAAATACAATACAGGCCACTGGAAACAACAATTTGTACTTGTTAAAGGCATTTGGGGCTTTTTTCCCCTGTGAATTGTCTTCCAAATAAAGTATTAAGTACACAGGAGATGAGTTATAGAAATGGCTTGGCATTGCTGAGGGGAAGCAGATGGATACAGGAATGCTCCCATGGAAAACAACTGGGAGAGAAGAGATCCAAGGAGGTTCTTCATGTTCTAGTCAAGCCCAGGGCCCAGGTAAGACCAGTGTCTCTCACTGTGCCACACGCCCCTTGCTCAGATCCTGCTCCAAGGATCCTGAATATCCCTCAATCCCTCACCTCCCTGTTCCCTTCC